TTCTCTATCTTTTTGCTGGAGTTGTATGGTTACACCATTGACATTGTTTAGCTCAAATTTTTTCTCCTATTTTGGTTGAGGGCCTTTCAAAATTTGAGCTTGAAATGCAATAAACATTATGATTATGCTGAATTAATAGGTTTCAATATGTACAACTTCGGTTGCCTTCTAAGTTTCATGTTTGTTCAGCTTATTTTGTGGGTCCTCCAAAACTCATCAGCTTATTTTTTGGCTCCTCCAAAACTCAGGGGTTCAATGCAACATTAACTGAACCAGTAGATACACCTGGGAGAAGAGGTGATCAAATTAAAGAGATGGACCTCAAATTGCATCCGGAGTTAAAAGGACCCTTAACAGCACTCTGCAGTGATCCAAAGACAACCATAGTTGTCCTCAGTGGCAGCCACAGACATGTCTTAGATGATGTATTCCCCGGCTCTCTTTCTCCCTTTTTTCCATTTTCTTGCATTGGTATAACCAAATTCAAACTAATTATTTCTGCAGAATTTTCGGGAGTATGACATGTGGCTGGCAGCTGAAAATGGGATGTTTTTACGACTTACAAAGGGAGACTGGATGACAACAATGCCGGAGCACTTGAACATGGAGTGGGTTGACAGTGTAAAGGTGCAAATTGGAATTGAACTTTATTCCTTCTGTGTTTCAGTCTCTAGGACAATTATTTTGATGGTTTGATTTTATGTTTGAAGCATGTTTTTGAGTACTTCAAAGAGAGGACACCTCGATCCCACTTTGATGTACGCGAAACATCACTTGTATGGAACTACAAATATGCAGGTGAACTTTTTTTGTGCTTGCTTCTCCAATCCTTTTTTGTCTGCCCTTTCTGCATATTCATGCTCATCTTTTTATGGTCATAGATGTTGAATTTGGACGGCTTCAAGCACGAGATATGTTGCAGCATCTCTGGACTGGACCAATCTCTAATGCATCGGTTGATGTTGTTCAAGGAAGCAGATCTGTTGAGGTGCGAGCAGTGGGTGTTACAAAGGTAATGACTTTCTCTTCAATTTTCTATTGTTTGAATATTATTAGTTTAGTGATATTGGAGATGCTTGCTTGCCAATTAGACGATTTTATATTTATTCAGGGTGCAGCAATTGATCGAATATTAGGAGAGATAGTTCACAGCAAATCAATGACAACACCAATTGATTATGTCCTCTGTATTGGGCATTTTCTGGGGAAGGTAACCTTTCAATCAGTCTTAAGCATATTCTTTCAATCTTATGAGATGATGTGCTCCAGAGAATTATATCAGTATATTGTTAAGCAGCATGTTTAGTGTAGAGGCATCAAAAAAGTTTAGAATATCATATGAATTAATTTCACCAGAATTTGATGGGAGATTTACTTGTTTAACTATGACATTAGATTTTGCAAGTCTGGTATGAATCCCTGGACCAATCGAAGGGCAAAATGAGGGAATGGGAAAAATGGTTGGAGAGAAGGAAGATGATGCACTGAGGATTCTGCACTTAGATACTTTTAGGGCTATTGTTAAATATTACCTCTTCTAAATGTACCTAGGGATCCTACGCATTAGGATTGAGTCCACATTAGGGATCTCTTCTGCCCACATGTGGCCGGGGAGAAGTGATCATTGAGGCAAAACTTCATTATTCTTAATTTTGTGATCATTCATGTGTCATAATTTATTTCGCATAGGCCAAAGAAGTTAACATAGTATCATCTTTCCATGTATACCCTATGAATTGATTAGCTTCTTTCTTCGTCTTCTAAATCATTAGAAGGAGATGTCTTTGTCAGCGAAGACCTGTTACACCAAATAAGTTGTCAAATGTTTTTCAAACTGTTTTAGAAGTGCATATTATTTATCGAGATTCTTTGTCACAAATAGGATCGCTAAGTACTAGAAAAGATAGCATTTGGAATCAGCATTCTTGTGCTTTTAATTAATGGAAGGGTTAATTTTCATTGCATCAGGATGAAGATGTGTACACTTTTTTCGAGCCAGAGCTCCCTAGCGATACAGCAGGTGTTCCGAGAATCAAGCCTATTGAAGGAAATAAGTTACCAACAGAGAGAAGAGCATCTTTGAAGCTACCAGCAAGTAGAGGCGGATCAAAGTCATCATCTCAAAGCAAGACACAGCGACCTGAGAAAAAACCTGCCCATCACAACAATTGTGGTAATGCACGGAGACCATCACCCGAAAAGATTTCATGGAACGTACTTGATCTGAAGGGAGAGAATTATTTCTCATGTGCTGTTGGACGGACCCGGACAAGTGCCCGTTATCTACTTGGATCATCAGATGATGTTATCTCATTTCTGAAGAAACTGGCAGATGCATTCTTGTTGACAGAGCCCAAAGTTTAAGATTGTTAGAGTTCTTGTTTTGTTTTAACTGACCTGAAGCCATCTTAAACTAGAGCAATGTTTGTAGGTAACTCTAGAAAGAAAACAGCTATAGCTCCATGGGTTGTATTTTTATTTATTTATTTTTCTCTAAAGTCTGTATGGCTAGAGTTATTTTGTTACTAATTAAACCAAGAATGATGCTTCCGGTCTTTTCCTTTGGAGGCAGATTAGTACTTTTCTCTAAATGGCTTGCTCTGTCTATGCTATATGCTCTGTCAACCAACGGACTGCATTAATTCTGATCGGTATCGACAGCCCACCCTTTATCTCGATGGATTTAGAATGCTCGAAAAATTTGGCAGGTGATATCATGTCAACTTCAGGCATTGAAAATGAGAGTAGAAGATTAAAAACATCATTGGATATATAAAAAGACCGGCTCATATATACAAAAAAAAATCTTGGTAGTATTGAGATAATAATATAATCATCTGATCAGGAGCTAAAGTTTGTCCAGCAAGACATCATGTTCCTCTGAATCAAGGTGAAAAAAATACAATGAACCAATTAGAAGTTCTTGTGGATCGCTAATTAAGCTAGAATACAATCTCTCAAAAATAAAAATAAAATAACAAAAGAAGCACGTCTAGTACTTCCTAATAAAATGCAAATGCCACGATGAAGTCAAAAGCTATCAGTGAACTTGATGAGAACATTATGACAGTAATAATTGGCGCCATGTATAAAAATGAAGTGCACAAAACTGCTCTCAATGTGCTTACGTTCTCTTGTTGGGTTCAAACACGTACTTGATCAGCGACTCCTTGATGGATAGCAACTCAGGAAACTCTTTCTTCAATTTGGATGCATCCAACTCATTGTTGCTTCGTGGTGCAACAATGACCTTGGCCTGCTCTTCCAGTGTGAAATTCACCCATTTGAAGTCGGGATCAATGTAACTCTTGTACATCTCCAGGATCTCGTTATGGCTTACAACTCCAGGATTAGTGAAGTTCCAAATACCCCTCAAGTTCCTCTTTGCCATCTCAATTGAAATAGGTAGAAGTTCATCCAACACGGTCATGCTGTTTGGAATATTGACCACTTTGTTATAGCGAGATATCTTGGTTATGAAGTTTCGTGGGTTTTTCAGATCAGATGATATCGGCATCCGTACTCTGAGAGTACACACATTATCATACTCTTTCAAGAGCTCCTCAACCTGGTTACAGGAAAAAAAAAAATCATCAACACTTTTTTTCTTAAAAAAAAGGAGAAGAAAACAGAGCTGAAGTAAGGCCAAGCTTACCATAGCTTTGGTTTTTGAATAGAAAGAACCAGTAAAGTTTGGCTTGTCTTCCTCTTTGAAACCAATGCCTGAACCCTCAGGATGTGCAGCATCATACTCAAATATACAGCCGGTAGCAAAATTCAAGACTAGGAGTCCATGCTCCCTGCAGACATCTGCCAGAGTCAATGTCCCAGCAACATTAGTACGAACAGTCTCGGTTTTGTGAGATTCACACCAGTCAACATTTGGTCTTCCAGTCACACCAGCAGCATTAAGAACTTGGGTGGGCTTAATGTTCTGAATATCTGCCATGATTGATGACCGATCCTCCAAACGTCCTTTTCCATATTCAAAGGGAATCCCCTGCTTCTCACACAACTGTCCGAGTAGACCCCCAATCCACCCAGTCCTTCCATATATCAGGAACTTGTAAGATGGTTTTCGAGGGGAGCCACTGGTTTTAGAGGTTGGAACCACCATCCGGGTTTGATTAGGATTATTGGAGACATAAGATTCTGCTTTGTTATCTTCAGAACCATCAAAATGCCTCCCACCAGGCATCATTAACATTCTTGGATGAGGAAGCAGAGCCCCAGAGACATCACCCCACCAATCAGGATTTTGGGTATACCATTCCATAGTCTTTTTCAATCCCTCATCCCAGGTGGTTCGTTCTGACCAACCCAAATTCTTTAGCTTCTGATCATCTAGGAAGTACCTCTGATCATTAAATGGTCTGTTCTCTACAAACTTAATGCTATCCTCAGGGTCCATACCAAAAAGTTTGCATATATCTTTAGCCACATCAATCACTCTCCTCTCCTTCTTTGTCCCAATATTGTATACATGACCAACTTCACCCTTGTGAAGAATGACTTCAAATGCCTCAGCAACATCCTCACAATACAGATAACTCCGCACATTTGATCCATCTCCATGAATTGGAAGAGACTTCCCCCTCATGGCCAAGAGGATGAACTTTGGAATCAATTTTTCTGGAAATTGATTAGGCCCATAAACATTATTTCCACGGGTCGTTATTACAGGCAACCCATACGATCTACCATAAGCCATAACAAGCATTTCCGCCCCAGCTTTCGTTGCAGAGTAAGGATTTGTTGGCAGAA